ATATATATATATATATATATATATATGTATACGTATATTTTTTTTTTCTAGTCTCTTACATATAGTTATTCTTATACGTATTATTATTATTATTATTATATCACACGATCGTAATGAAATTTAAAGATAATTTTTTTATATTTATTTATTCGTTTAATTTCGATATATTAATTGATGAAGAAAAAAACTTTATCATCATCACGATCACTGGGTCTTCTCTTTTACCTCACCACCCGCCCACCCACCGTGATCACTCTAACTATTAACACGATTATCCTATTACCACCACCCACCCACCCACGTTCGATACTAAGGAGCAACTTTTTTTTCTTTACAAACATTCATCCACTATTTTATTTTTATAAAAGATTTGATTATTTTTTCAAATGCACCAGTTCGTGTTAATCTTACAAAGTTAACGAAAATTATCATAGAATAATGTTTCTTTAAATGTTTATTTATCAATTTATGTATACTTTGGGATTTACCCTCCCACGTATTATTATCATAATATAACTTTGTATCACCTGTGATTATTTTTTTATTATTTCTTTCTGTTTTTATCTTTCAATGATTCCTTTTAATGTCCATTCATATCACGAAAATATTTATTAACGTGTGTGAATAGTGCGCGAATTGTTCGTGCCCACAAATTTCAACAATTTCAACGATATTTCCATTGACTATTTTTTATTTTTTATTATTTTCGTTTAAAGGAAAAAATCTTGTCGAAGAAAAATAGACAAACAAAAATAGAAATTTGTTCTCAGTGAAATTGAATCCGCGACGTTAGTAATTTCGTAATTTGATAATTTCTTAATTCTTGTTGATTTTTGTTAGTTATTTTTGTGGTTTAAGGAAAGAAAATAGAGAAAGAGACCGGCCGAAAAAAACACGGCACCCGTCTCGAGACGTACGCGAGGCCGGCGCTCGCACGGAAATCACGAGTCGCACTGACTCAACGAACTTCGTCGGCTAAAGCCTGGCATAGGACAGCAGCAGCACCAGCAGCAGCGGTAGTAGTGGTAGTAGTGGTAATGGTAGTGGTGGTGGTGCTAGTGCTGGTGGTGGTGGTTTGATGGTCGTATTGGTGGTGGTGGTTTGATGGTCGTATTGGTGGTGGTGGTGGTGCTGCTGCTGATATTAATGTTAATAGTGGTGGTGTGGTGGTTCTGATGATGTTGACGTTGATGGTGGTGATGGTGGTGATGATGACGATGATGCTATTGATAATGGTGATGATATGTGTCCCTTCATTACATTTATCAACCAATCGGGGTGTGAAATAACTTACGTTCTAAGTATGGTATCAATGACATGTGATAAACAAAAAATTCTTTTCACCTAGGTGAAAAACAATTATTCTTTCAAATCCTTATCGAATCTTAAAATAATAAAATATTTTTCCTATAAACAATTGACAGTTATCTAAACGTATTAAACTGTTTTTTTTTTTAAAGAGGAAATAAACGATTTGAAGAACAATATTATTATTATTATTATTATTATTATTATTATTATTATATGAAAAATTGTATAATAAAAGAAATAAAACGATTATTGATTCTACGATTTTACACTTCGTAGATGTTTCACGAGTTTACCTGTTACTTGTCGCAAAATCATCAGAAAAATCACCTTCAATGTTAGCATAATCCAACTCTTGTTTTACTATCTAATCTAAAAACCAATCGAAATATTTCTTAGCTTTATCCTCGTCCTTAACTATTTTTACAAAATTCTGTTCCCCTTGTAGTAAGTAAAAAAAAAAAAAATAATAAAAAACGATTACGAAACGAAAGATCGAAGAAGAAGAGAACATAATAAGAATCTTGAAAAGAAAGGGGTTGAAATTTCTTGATCTGTCTTGAAACTTATTTGCAATATACTTATCCATACTACTCATAAACAAGTATCAACTGAGTATTTCCGTACATTTTATTTAAAACCCGGTCCGGTTCTAATCTCAAGTAAAAGAAAAGAAGAATGTGTATGTGTGTGTATGTTTGGTATCATTATTATCATTAGGCAAGGATTTCCAAGAGGATTTGACGGTAACGTTTACTTTTCTAAAAGACACCATTTTATCACAGTATTCTCTTTGAACTAATACACCATACACATTGAAGTTCTCACTTACGGAAGCTGATATCGAACAAATATGAGGAAAAATAAAAGTAAATCTTAGTAAAAGAGTAAATGGTTCACAAGATGCACCTGGCACGATGCATAATACGTTGGTCCAAAGTATAAAATATCCTCAATCTTCCTTAGTAAAGAGACGACGATGTTTCTTTCTATACTTTTTCCTTTTTTTCTTTCTCTTCTTCTTCTTCTTCTCCTTCTTCTGAACGTTCATGCAAACCGTCTTAAACTACTTATTTCTCTTCTTCGGCGCAAGCCGCTTATCTCAATCTTGGAACAACCAACCAACCGATCGTTCGAGTTCGATGCACCTAAGTTCCAAAGAGTGAGACGAGCTTTTTCCTTCTCTTTCTTACTTTCTAAAAATAACTAAAAGCGAAAAAAAATATTTATATATGTATATGTATATGTCTACAAGCGTTTTTGGACAAATTATGTTTCGATTTTGTGCACCTTAATTACGAGCAACCCTGAAATACCACGGATTCTTGAATAAAAAATCTTTTTTTACCAACTATTAACTATTACCCGTCACTTTATTAAAAAAAAAGGGATATTTTTGTTCATGTTATTTTTTCAATTTTTAACTTTTTCCGTTGCATGTATCTGATGAGAAAAAAAATTCTTCCCCCATAAATACATGCGTTAAATGTCAATTAATTAAATGAAAAATGTATTATAATAATTGCAATTATTTTCGATAAAAAATGAATCATGTATCATTTAAAGAAAAATTAGTTTTAATG